CCCCCCCCCCCCCTCCTCGTCCTCCTCTTTCTTATAAAACAACAATTAACTGCATAGCACATAAGGCTAATCCATGAGGGATACTGAGGGGCTTACAATCTATATATCATATGTTCTACATGTGTATTGACATTACTACTATCCAGAATCCTTATATGCATTGATTTGTTTCTCAAAGTTTTAAGTCTTGAACATCATACAACATCTTACGGGCGGGATCAGATCCAAATTTGTAGATGTAGTTTAAATTCACATGCAATAATGTGAGTATTAGGATTTGGTGCTCCAGTATGCTGATAGTATAATTATTCTTTCTTTTAGCATTTGTTTTTCCCTTAAAGGGCTGCCCTTTAGAAAAATAATTAATCAAATACCTTTTTTAAGGCTGTAGACATCGACTAGGTTTCAATGATGTTGTTTCCCTTGATAAGAAGCCATAGTGCTGTTAAGTAAATCTGAAGGCATTTTAAAGGGCCTGCATGTGTAAATGACTGAGAGAAGTCCAAAATATTCAAATTTATTAAGAAAATTACCTCCCCAAGATTCATCTTGGCTTTGACTTTGAAGTTAGTTCTTCAAATATAGGATTACCATCACCGACACCGGCTAAAATGAACAAAGGTTAACAGTGAATCCTAAAATTCTAAGGATGTATGCCCCCAAAAATGTTTCAGAATTGGGCTAAACTGACCCAATAAATGATTTGAGCACAAGTAAGTTTGGCCCTAATTACGGGATAAAATAAAGGGAAAATTTAAACAATAATTGAGTTTGGTATAGTTTGACCAATTGTAAGCATTCAGGAGGGGAAAAAAAACAAAAGTTGATTAGAGAAATCCATATCGAAGGAGAAGTAGGGCACTTGGAGTTAGAAACTAGATTGTAATAACCCGAATTTTCACTTGATTATAAGTACTTCATTTTACAAATTTCTTCAATAATTACACGAGTTATTTGTTTAGTTATATTAATTATGAATATTAGACTATAAAGGTCCACCTTTATGCAAGTAGTGTAATAATTCTAGGTTTTATTGGTTATATATATACAAGGAAAGGTTAAAGGACTTTTATGCAAAATTTGTTAGAGGATTTAAAAAAAAAAACCTTTATAAATACCTGGAAACCACCCCATCTATTTCTTCTTTGATTCCCGGCCGTCAGCCTCTTCTTCCTTCTCATCACTTTTCCGCCGCACGCGCACACAAAAAAAAGAAAAGAGGAAGCCTTGTTTTGATTTTCGGCCATGGGAAGCTTTTAAGAAAAAATAGAGATATATTAATCAAGGTATAAATTATTTATTTTATTTATTTATTTAACTTTTCTCTCCATGCATGATATTTTAATCCATGGCCATGGCTAACACAAGAGATTATTACTGCTCTTACTTTTATTATCTTCATGCATGATATTATGATTCGTAGCATATAAGTATATTGATTCTATGATAAAAATTGTTATGTATGCAATCATGGTTTTAAATATCGGCCGATAATCCGATATTATTGCCGAGTTATCGGATTTGGGAGCTTCCCGCTAGGATAAGTAGGATTTTTAATCGGTTATCGTTTTTTGAGGTTTATCGACGAGTTATCGGCGATAAAGGTACTTATCGGCCGATAAGTAGGCTCTAAATATCAGCTTTATCAGCCGATAAGTAGGATTTGGGAGCTTTTACTTATTTTTGGATTTGTTCTTTGAATGTTTACAAATTATGAACTATTTGTTGCTTTTGGAACTTGGTTGATTGGTGATTAGCTTATGTTTGTTTATGGATATTGATAATGGCTCATAACTACTAAATATCAACTTAGTAAGTTAGTTTATGAATCTCATGATTAAACAATAATTATGTAGATGCGTAGATGGTTCTTCATTCTTGATGTTATCTTATTATTTGCTAGTTTGTTATTCCATTTTGACTAACATTATATTATTTTTCAAGCTTATGTTTGTTTATTATTTGCTAGTATATTTGTTTATTATTTGCTAGTATATTACTTCGATAAATACTATTTATCCCCGATATATCCCCGATTTTCGCTATCCGATAAGAATTTTGACCGTCCGATAAATCCCCAATAACCGACATTTAAAACCTTATATATAATGCTTAACTGTAGTTATAGGGTACAATAGGGTATGTAGATTGATTTTAGTATAGTTAATTAAATGGTGTATGATAATATCCTAAGATTATTTTAATAGGTATTCGGGTCTTAAGTTATACGGTAATTTTGATGGTTATTTGTATATATTTTGTAGGAGTTCCAAGTGATTTCGAGGAGGCATTGTGAGAGGTTTTCGATTGTCTTTCGGGTTTGTGTGAGTGGTAAATTTATGCATTGTGCGCTGCGTATTTTTTTTATAGATAATTGTATCAAGTATACTCGGATTTGTTCCTGATGGATTATATCATTCGTATGATTACTGGCATGTCATTTATTGATTGGTTTGATTTTATGATGCTCATGGATATTTGGTATAAACTTATGCTTATTTTTCTTTATCAATTGTTGTCTTTTCATATAGTAGTAGGTTGAGATGCATACATAGTTGATTGATTTCACTATTGGTTGGCCTTTGGCAATTTTGTATAACATACTTGGTTATATGAACTTTGTTTATTTTTTTTAAAACATATGCATCTCAAGTCAATATATCGGTATATGTCGGGTATAAGCAAGCTATTAAAACAGGGCTCAATGTGCCTCTATGAGGTTTTAATTTTAACGCTAAGAGCCCAAAATTGGGTCTCATCGTCCCGGAACCACGGGCTTAATAATTGTGGGGTTTACCAAATCAACCGGAGTATGAAGTGTTGACCGCATTGAGACGTAGCCTGCTTTTTTCCATTGCATTTATACATTTTAAAGATGTTGCATTATAATTTTTACTATTTTAGTATTTTGCGTATAAAGTCAATTTATTTTTAGTTTTGCAAAACCAGTGTTTAATGTATAAATTTATCCACTTATTGAGTTGTGAACTCATTGTGTTATATTCATTCTTTTCAGAGACTCGGGATTAGGTGGAGTTGGTGGTTCATGAGTTCTTACTTCTTAGAATGGAGCAGAGAATAATATTCTTCAAGATTGCTATTGTTTTCTAGATGAAGGTTGATAAAGTCTTTGATGTTTAGTTGATAAATTTTGACTTTTGGAATAATAATATTCTTTCCTTTAAGTTGAGGTTTATTTCAAGTTGAGGAATAATTATTTTTATCAAGTTAATTGGATTAGTGTTGACTTTCAGGATTATAGAGAATATTTATTGTTGGTTTAAGTTCAATGAAGAGATTATTTTGATGGTTTTTTGATGAATGTATATTTTTGGAGGATTTTTCACAGGTTTAGTCAGATTCCAATATTTCTTTTAGGTTCGGAATTTGGGGTCGTGACAGATACCTTCACGGCACACATTTTATGTAGAAATATGTTGTATATGATTCACCCATGCACTTCATTTATAGATGCAGGCCCTGCGATTACTCTCTGGGACAATCTGACCAATTTCCAGATTTACATCCAATTTGCATGGCAGAAACATAAACTACAAATTCTACCCAGCTTTGATACTCATTACTTCTGGGAGCTTTTTGTAGCCCTCAAGCTTCTCTCATCTTTTCCCAATGATTTCGTGTCGAAGCCTTACATAACGTTTCTTACGAAGCTTGTGATCCAGCGTCATTGGTAGCTGATGCACAGCGTGTGATTCAGAAGGCACATTGTATATAGAGAAAGTGACAAGTTGTATTTGCAGAATGTTGCACACCCTTTTCTGTTATCTGAGAACATATGTACAACATGTCGACATACGATTCGTCGATTGTATTTGCATTCGCGTTATGAAGTAATTCGCATGCATGTATGTTATCAGAATAAATCGTGTAGTATTTGATGCGTCGCCTATTTGCCATCAAAACACTTCATCTTTTCTAATACATATGCAGCTATGACGATCTTCTGTTTAGGATTCATGGCAGCAAGATGGATTGATTTGCAAATCCGTAGTACCCAAACGTAGCGAGGAAACGCACCATTATTCCATTAACGATCAGGTCTAGAATACGCAAAGTTTCTTGGGTCATCCATCAATGAGATAATTTGTATGACTTACTTTCAAGGAATTTGACCAATTTGGTGTGAGCGAGAAGAAATTAAACCAATTAAGGTTCACGAGTCAGTGAAATTCTAGAAGAGACCGTCCTAAGACAGGGGTCTACTCCTTAGGGTTAGGTAATGAGTTCAGTTTGGAGAAAATAGGTCCCAATAATAACTCATTAATCATTTTCTAAGTCACTTAATATAGTACCTTGGTATTGCAAATGAAACGCGCAGGTCCCTGTAATAAAAAAAAGAGAGTTTTTCTAAATGCAACTGAGATGGACTGATTACAACACTATAACTGAGTAATGTAGCACATGTGACAACCCAATGTGCTTATATATAGTGATTGTGTCCATTACAAATGTCATTTATTCATACTAGTTATATTAGCAAATGAAAACACACTGTTCTTGCTTGTATGAATTATTAGTGGGTGCACAGGAACAGAATATGAAAGTACCTCAATAAAGGGGGGTGTCATAAAAAAGAAAAGAATGTCTTGATACAAAATGATGCGACACGCTACAAGTACTTCAATGGTCCAATAGTTATCAAGAGCAACTCGATGTTGGCTAAATTTCACTACCAAAATATTAGCACTAGTTGTTTTTAGGTCTTGGACTTCTCTATTTAAACCACTAATATTTCTCCACACTAGTCCGTGGGACTAACTAAAGTGTGATGTCACAGTTATGTAAAGTGACAGAAAAAAAAGAATTTGGACTGACTAAGATTATATCATAATTAATCGAAGTTTGTCTAGCCTATACCTAGCAATGTATTCATGTTTTAATCACACTTGGACTTGGTGTATACTTATACTTGGGTATAATTGCAAAGATAATTCTGATTATAGTTAAAGCTGGGAGAAAAAACCAATGTAATTTTTCGTGTGCATAAAAAGCATTCTCTACTTCTCTGGTTACTAAAAACATGTTGCGCACGCGTCTCCTGTAATAATAAGGGATTTGGATCCTCTTCACTACAAAAAAGTAGTGGAGAGACCACTACTTTTAATCTCAAGCGTTGATTATTTAATAGGCGGTTATGATACAATCTAAATCTAACACTTACCATACCCCCGTGTATTGCACTCATTCCTAATTTGCACTAAAAGAAAAAAATCATAACCATCAACTAGATAATCAATGGCTGTGATTATGTATAATTTGCACTAAAAGAAAAAAATCATAACCATCAACTAGATAATCAATGGCTGTGATTATGTAGTGGTCTCTCTACTATTTTTGTTGTAGTGGAGAGGATCCGAATCCAATAATAAGCGAACCAAAAAGACATGCTGAATACGTGCATAATTACCCGAACGTTATATTAATTAATAAAGTGAACAAAACAGGACACGATGAACCCGTGCATACCCTGGACACGTCATAAAGGAAGTATCGCCAAAAAAAGAAATCTGTCTCGGTTCCGACCGAGGGCAACACGTTACGATACCCAGCTTCTCAGACCCCGCTTACTAGCGAGCGTGGCCAGCACGTGTCACGACGGTTTCGTCGGAGGGGATGAAGACCGTGAGCAAATTAAGCGTCGTCCCCCTAAACGAGTTTCAGGGTGTGTGTTTGGTTGGACAATTTTATAGAAAAGTTTTTTTTTTAAAATGTCTGATGATGGTAATTCTGTAATTAAAAATTTTCTATAGATATCCGTGAACTGTGTTTGATTCAAAAAAAATTACAGAAATCGATTTACTCTCAAAATGGAGGGGAATCACTCAGAAATCTGACACCACATTGACACTTTTATTTAAAGTTAACACTTTTCTATAAATTTAGGAGATGTTTGGTTCAATTTCTATAAATTATAGGAAACCTTGCTATTTTCTATAAAGTTGTGAGTCATTTTCTTGTTTTGAACCAAACAAGCAAATTTTAAAAAAAATTGGTACTTTTTGACTTCTCAAAACTTTTCTTATAATTTTTTTAAGAAATATAAGGAAATCATATTTTGGGTAGAAAACATTTCCTATAATTTATAGAAATTGAACCAAACACTCTTTTAGCGCATGTTGTCTCCGTTTTTTAATTTTAATAATGCGCTATCTGCGCAGCAAATATGTAAACTAAATCTAACTAGATCGGATGCAGATTGCACCGTAATTAATATTTTTTTAGATGCATTTAGTTGTTATAATTTTTAAAAAAAAAGAATTTGGAGTCCTAAAACTTCAAAATTATTAGGGACAGGAGTTTACACACCAAGAAATTATTATCCCAGGAAAACAATTTGGATTCTCCAAATTATCATCACTAGTTATCTCGCTTATTAATTTCCTTACTTTCCAAAAGAAAACGATTTTCCCTCCACCCCCCAACTTTTTTCTCTCTCTCGTTGCCTCCAACAACCACACTGCTGTCTTTTTAACTCTTTCTCCCCTCGCTACTATAAAAACCCCCCCTTCACAGTCTCCACCTCCGCCTCAAAGCTTCCACCTTTTCCCTTTTTTTGGCAGGTTTTCACAAAAAGGGAGGGGCCCTCTTCTGCAGAAACCCAGCAGAATGTGCGGAGGCTCAATCATCTCCGACTTCCCAAAGCCGCCTGATGGGCCTAAGACGGTGACCGCCGGCGACCTGTGGCCCGAGAAGATGGCGCCAAAATCGTCGACGGTGGAGATTGAGGATGACGACGACGCTGATGCTATTTTTGAAGCCGATTTTGAAAAGTTTAAGGATCCTGAGCTTGATGAGATGGAAGCGTTTGATGTTAAGCTTTTGTCTTACCCTACAAAGCCAGCTACTGTTAAAGGTACATATAGAGACCCTTTTCTTTTTTTTTTATTTTTTATTTTATTAGCTATCTTTGTTGAATTTTGGTGGGTTTTCTGGTTGATTATGGGTTTTTTGAAAATGGGTATTTGCTATAGGTTTTGTTATTCTTTAGTGGATTGGGAAAATCTTTACTGATACTAAAATCTTTACATAGGCCTAAACTGATTGCGATAGATAAAAGTTAGCAGGAATTGACTTTAAGAAGGTAACATCTTTTTTTTTTTTTGACTTATCTTTGTTTACTTATTGTGATAGGGATATAAATTGCAAAATGATCGATGAATGAATGTTGCATTGTTTAAATTGTAGATCTATAATGCGGCTACTTGAGAAAGCTTTGATACTGTTGTAGATATGTATGATTGGAATTAGTTTTCGCCTTTTCGACGGGCCTCCTGAGTTCAATGTTGAGTATCAATGTATTCTTTGTCCTTGTTTTTTTTATTTTTCTATTGGTTTAGTTAGTTGAATTGTTGTAAAGATTGGATTTTGGTGGTTTTTTCTGTTTAATTTTGGGGGTTTTTTTAAAAATGGGTATCTGTTAGTTTGGGGATTGGATGGGGTTTCTTTCCTCAATTTGTTCTATTTTTATGTTGGGTTCTATTTGGTGGGAGTATTGTAATAGTATTATAGATCGAACGTTTTTTGTTTGGTTGATTATTTATTCTGTTGGTTTGTGTTCTTAATTGGGAAAACGGTTATTTAAAGATGAGGCCTAAAAAGGCCTAAAAAGCATTAGAGCAGGTGAAAGTACGCAGAAATTAATTATTTTACTCGTCTTAATTTTTTATTACTATTGATTAATTATTATGATAGGGGCATAAATTGCAGAAGATTAGCTGTTCTTTGTTCATTGTAGGCTATTTAAGAAGTTGCGTGCTTTTACTGAATTAAGATCGACTCATTTGATGGGAGATGGCCAAGACATTTTTTTTTTAAATGATGATGATGAAGCCTTTTGATTTCCTTTTTAGTTAGTCCAGTTGCACTTTTTTGATTTTGTTTATTCTTTCTTATCCCTTTTCTTAGTAGGTTATCAAATATTCTAGGATTTAAGCATTAGAGAGATTAGTTGATTGCAATTTCTTTTATGCTTGGATAGAATCTCTAAAGCCTGTTGAGCTCAAGGGGGATGCAGAGAAATCTGCAAAGAGAAAGAGGAAGAACCAGTACAGAGGCATTCGTCAGCGTCCATGGGGAAAATGGGCTGCAGAGATCAGGGACCCTCGCAAAGGAGTTCGAGTTTGGCTAGGAACATTCAGCACTGCTGAAGAAGCTGCTCGTGCTTACGATGCTGAAGCTCGTAAAATCCGAGGCAAAAAAGCTAAAGTCAATTTTCCCGAGGATGAACCAACACCAAAACTCACATCATTTAAAGCTCCTATCCCTGAGTTTTCCATGAATCCTGACTTCCATCTCGATCCCGAGTTTTACTCTACTTTTGGTTTCTTGGAGGAAAACACAAATTCTTCGAATTTCCAGTCTGATCAGGGGAGCAACTGCTTGGAGTTTTCTGATTTTGGTTACGGAAATGAGATCAGCAAGACACCAGAGATCACTTCATTTGCTCCTGCTACTTTAACTGAAGAAAATGAATCTGGGATTTTAGAATATGACAATGGTAATCCACAGAAGAATCTGAAGAACAGTTTTGTGGAAGGAGTTTCAGCTAATCAGACTGCAGCTATGAAGCTCTCTGAGGAGCTTTCTGCTTATGAGCCCTATATAAAGTTTCTTCAATGTCCTGATGTTCAAGTGAGTTTAGATGACTCCTTCGATGGCTTCTTTGCCCAGGATGGTTCGGACGCTGTTAACCTCTGGAGCTTTGATGACATGCCGTTGATTTGAGGCGTTTGAAGTATCGGCTGAGACAAGCCTAAAAATGTAAGCTTTCCTCGCTTCTATATGTTCTCTAATTAACTCTTTTACAAATTTCTTGTAGTTTCTTTGGGTAATAATGGTATTATTTCTTTTGTTTCAGGAATCTAGTTCTTAAGGGGCCATTGTTCATAATTGAGAACAAGACTGTTCGCTGGCTGCAGTGGAGCTTTCGGCAAAACCTTGGTCTATGGAAAAACTATGTTTGGCTAGTATGTCTATTTTTGTTCATTTATGTTAACCTTGTTTAGTGTTAATCAGTAGTAACTTTTATTTAAGCGTTCATCAGTAGTAACTCTTGTTAAGCGTTTCAGTACCTGGACCTGTGTCTTATGTATCTGTTGTCTTTAATCAGCAGTAACTTTGAAGAAGTGAGTAAAGTTTGTTTTGTTATGTTATCTGTTGCCTTTAATCAGTAGTAACTTTGAGAAGTGAGAACATTCTTTTTTTTTTAATTTAATGTGATTCTGGTTCTTGTTCTTGGAAATTTGAATAAATCCTGGTAACCTAAATACTTTGTGAAATTGTTTTGGGTAAATTATGGATAGAGCCCTTGCAGTTCTATTGTTGCAGAGTGAAAATTTTGACTCTTTCACCAGGTCTTTTAGTAAAAAAATGTCCTCTCTTTGCCTGAGGATTAAAGATGTTGACAACGTTGGGCTGTGATAGCCTTCTCACCTACCCCCGCTACAGTGTTCACATATCCCCAAATAGTGTTCACCTATCCCTGCTACAGTGTTTACCTACCCTCATGAGAAAACTTATAAATACCCCTCTAAGTTTGATTTGTAAGGTATCTCAGTAGCAGAGAGAGAATTCTTGGAGAGTATCAAGAGAGGGTGTTCTCTTTTATCTTTTTCTTTTGTAACCTCGAAAGGAACATAAAGGAATTGGGCGTCGTCGTTGCACCGTGGAGTAGCTCCGTAAGAGTGAACCACGTTATATCTGTGAGTACTGTGATTAAATTCGTGTTTGCTGGTTTTATTTTGTGATTCTAAGATTGTTTGGGTGTGTTTTGCGTCTTCGTTTGAGGCGTTCTTGTTGGCGTGTATCCTAACAAGTGGTATCAGAGCATATCGTTCAGGAAAAACGGAATCTTTCGCCATGGGATCTACAGTTGAAGACAACATGCTTCGGATTGAGAAGTTCGGCGGCCAAAATTTTAGGTATTGGAGGATGCAGATATAAGACTATTTGTGCCAGAAGGATCTCTTCCTACCCCTCCAAGGAGAGGCGGGGAAACCTGAGAAGATGGACGACGATAAGTGGAAGATGCTCGATCGTAAAGCACTTGCCATCATCAGGCTCAACCTTCACCATCATGTGATTTACAACGTTTCGCATGCAACCACCACCAAGGAGTTGATTGAGGCCTTGGAGGCGCTGTATGAGAAGTCGTCTGCCTCAAATAAGGTGTACCTGATGAAGAAGCTATTCAATCTAAAGATGCAGCAAGGAGCTCACGTAGCGGACTTCTTCAACGAATTACAGGCTGTGGTGCAACAACTTGCTGCAGTGGATCTCAAGTTCGACAATAAGATCCAAGCTTTTCTGCTACTTTCTTATCTACCAGATTCATGGTAGAATATGGTTATGGCGGTGAGTAACGTCAATGGCAATAATAAGATGAAGCTCGACACCTTGATTGGGGAATTCTGGATGAAGAATCTCGCGTCAAAGTCTCAGGAGTTAAGCCCTCTAGCAGTGGGAGTGCTTTGCATGTCGATGACACGAGGGTGTGCGCAGAAGAAGGGTAGGGGACGACAAGGTTGATCAAAGTCCAAAGGGAAATCTAAAGGGCCGGACCCGAATGGTTACAGTGAAGGGAAGTGCTTCAGATGTGGAAAGAATGATCATTTTGCACAGGACTACAGAGCTTCTGTTCCAGCATCAGCAGAGGATGATCAGGCTGACGGTGTAGCCAATCTTATGCACGAGACGGATTCGGATGCGCTTCTCCTATCCCTCGAAGACAAAAGTGATGCATGGGTCATCGACTCTGGCGCATCTTTCCATGCAACCTCACAACAAAAGCTGCTTTCATCGTTCGTGAAGAAGGACTTGGGGTTTTGGTTTTCCTATATATGTCTAGGCCTGTCCAAAAAGCCCGCCGGCCCTGGCCCGGCCTCGGCCCGGAAATTCGAACCAGGCCGGGTTCTAGGCCCGGGTCCGGGCCGTCAACGGCCATAAACGACCGTTTGACCGTTTTGTCCCCAAAAACGGTCAAAAAACGGCTATTTTGTGAGGTTATTTTGGTCATTTGCTTAGGGGGCTGGTTCTATAAATAGAGGGGGGGTTTCATTTGTTTTCTTCACACCAAAACTCATCTACTTCTCTCTTATACTCTTATACTCTCTCTTATACTCTCTTATTTATACTTTCTAATTCTTTCATCAAATGGCTTACGGATCTGGTTATGAAGAGCAAAACCTATCTCCCGATCCTGAAATGAGTCCTACTGGGTCTACTCCTACCGAAGTTAATCCCGAATCCGGTGGCGACGAATCTACACCAAGAGCTCCTAAAAGGCCAAGATCCGATGTGTGAAATTTTTACGAGAAGATCGACGTCACCAAGGATGAACACGGTAGGATCCTCACTCAGAAGGCTAAGTGTGCGTTGTGCGGCAAGATTTTTCAAGCTCATCATAAGAGCGGCACCAACCACCTCAAACGCCATTTAGATAAACACAACAAAGGCCAGACTCCTCAAGGTGATATCCGACAATCTATGATTTCTCAATCCTCCTCTTCTGGTAGTCTCGGTAGTTGGAACTATGACGCTGCCAGAGCCAGGAAATGCGTAATCAGGTTTATCATTCTTAAAAACCTTCCTTTTAAATTAGTAGAAGATGATGAATTTGAAGATATGTTTAGAGATGGTTTTTATCCTGCATTTAAAAAAATTTCTCGTCAAACCTGTCAACGTGATATTTTAAAATATTATCAGGAGGAACAAGGAAAAATAATTTCTTATTTTAAAAATTTAAACTATAAATTTTCTTTAACTTCTGATATTTGGACATCTAGAGCACAAACTGGATATTTATGTATCACAGCACACTGGATTGATGAAAATTGACAAATGTTTAAAAGAGTTGTTTCTTTTATTGCAATAGAAGAGTCACATACTGGTATTTAATGTTGTAAATTTAATAATTGAAGAACTTATGAAATTAGAAATTTTAGAAATAATATTTTCTCTTTCACTAGATAATGCAAGTAATAACAATGTAGCTGTTGATTTTATCAGATCAACTTTATCATTGCCATGTCATGGTGATCTTTTTCATATTAGGTGTATCTGTCATATTTTAAATTTAATTGTTCAAAGTGTATTTACTGAAATTAAACCCATGATAGAAAAGGTTAGAACAGTTGCTTACATGCATAATGCTTCTGAACAAAGACTTAAAAGATGGAAACAATTTTGTAAAAGAAAAAATGTAAAGCCTAGACTAATTCCAAAAGATGTTGACCATAGGTGGAATTCCACATATGCAATGTTAAGTGTAGCAATAGAATATAAAGACATTATAACTGATTTTATAAACTATTATGCTTCTAGTTCTAGTTCTGGTAGCACTTATGGAATAACTGAAGATGAATGGACAGTTATATGTAATTTAAATGAAATGTTACAAGTTTTTTATGATGCTACAATGTTATTATCTGGCTGTTATTATCCAACCATTACTTTAGCTGCTTTACAAATTTTAAATATTCAAATTTTTTTTGGGAAATATCGTATGGATGAGACTTTTGGATCTATGATTTTTCAAATGGAGAGCAAATTTAATAAGTACTTTAGGCCTATTCCTCATATTTTTGGTTTGGGGTTCTTATTGATCCATGCTTGAAGGATATTGGCATTCGAAGTTTGTTACAATCCTTGTATGTTAATCAGATTATAGACTTAGATGATGGAACCACCCTTACTGCTACTACTCATCATTTGGTTATTAGAAATTATTTTCAAACCTTATATGATGAGTATGCAGCTAGACATGGTGTAGCTACACAACAGTCTACAGCTTCGGTTTCTTCGAGCTCATCCCGAGGTAAAAGTGTAAGTTTTGATAGGTATGCAATGGTAGCTGAGCTAACTGGTGGATCTGGACTTGGATCGTCATCATTGGAGGTTTCTGAAATAGATGAATATTTTTCTGCTTCTTTAGTTAGATGTCAAGGAAATGCTTTAGATATTTTGCAATGGTGGAAAGTATATGGATCAGTTTCATATCCTATACTTTCCACCATGGTTCGTGACTTACTAACAGTGCAGGTTTCGACGGTAGCTTCGGAATCCGCCTTCAGCACAGCAGGTCGTTTGATCGACGATCACAGGACATGCTTGGATCCGTATACTGTACAAGCGGTGATGTGCTTACAAGATTGGTGGAGGTACGAGAAGCGAACGCAAGGCATCGATCGGATGGCTGGAATTGAAGATAAATTTGAAGAATTGGGACTAGCAGATAGATATAAAGAATAGATTGTAGTTTTTATATCTTAGCTTAAAATTTGTAAAGAATTATTTTGGAAATAGTTGCAAATGATAGTGATATAGGTGAGTAGGTGCGAACTTAGTTGGGATTTACTTATCTATTGTGATGCGATTAATTCCAAAATAAATTTGTACTTGTAATTTGTAAATGATTTATTAATTATTAATAAAGAATTTGTTTTTATCATTTTTTATTTGTAATTTATATCATTTTAAGTGATTAACAAAATTATTATTTTTTATTATTTTTCTTGTCTTTTTTTATAATTTAAAATTTAAATAAAATCTACAAAATTTTAAAAAAAAGGGAAAAAATCCGGGCCAGCCCGGAACCTGGCCCGGGATATCCTGGGCGGGTCCGGGCCCTTTTTTTGCTCGGCCGGATGGACAGACTCTATATATGTCCTTCTATTTGTTAGAGGAAAAACTAGAAGAAGAAGAAGAAGAAGTGGAGAGAGAGAGAAGAGAGAGAAAGAGAGAGAGAGAGAGAGAGAGAGAGAGAGAGAGAGAGAGAGAGAGAGAGAGTGTGTGTGTGTGTGTGAAAGAGTTTGACAGTCTTTGTCCGTGCAAAAGATTGTAATTTGGAGGTGATAGTGGATTAATTTTGATCCCGTGATTTTTCCCTGTTGAGGGTTTTCCATGTTAAATCTTGTGTGATTTTATTTGTTGTGTTTGGTGTTTTTTTTTTTAGTTTTTGTGAGATCTAAAAATCCCTACAATAATGACCATGAAAAGATTTTTCTAAAATCATACTTTTAAAGGGAGTATGATATATATATATATATATATAATAGTGCATTGGGACCCACATGAAATTTTATTTTTAAAATTTCATGTGGGTCCCAATGCACTATAGAGAGAGTAGAGGTGTGGTTGGGATTGTGGTTGTGGGTGCGTCCCT